CTCTCAACCATACAGAAGCACTGACTTGACGTTGGTGTTGAAAATCTACATCTTGTTCCACATGCTGAGTGCAGAAGATCTCCACACTGGTTTCAGGTTATTGAACACCTGTCTTGCTTTTCCGATTCTGACTTTGACGTCCTCGTCTGTCCCGCCTGTAGTTGAAACAGTGCTTCCTAGATAAGTGAAGGAGGTTACTTCCTTTAAGTTTCTCCCGTTCATGGTGATTGGAGTTTGTTGTTGGTGGTGGTGGTGCGGTATCTTCATCACCTCTGTCTTCTCTATATTCACCTGAAGTCCCGTCTTCGCTGCTTCCTCTATCAACTTGTTAGTTTTTGCCTGTAGATCTTCAAGTTTATGTGACATCAGACACAAGTCATCGGCGAAATCCAAGTCTTCTAGGTTCTTTTCCGCAGTCCAGCCAGCGTATCCCCCTCTTCTCGCTGCCTACTGTTTGCTGCATGATCCAGTCGACCACAACACAATCAGGAATATCATGGGGATAGTAGACAACCTTGTTTCACTCCTTCCTGTCTTCACTTCAAAAGCATCACTGAACTTCCCATTGTGAATTACTTGGCCGGCATGTGGCGTCTTCATATAGTTGTTGAATAAGGTTGATAAAGGTTTGTGGTATTCCGTAGTATTGAAGCAGTTTCCAAATTACCTCTCAGTCGACGCTGTCAAAAGCCTTCTCATAGTCGATAAAGTTGAGGCTGAGTTGAGTTGACTGCCATTCCATACTCTGTTCTATGGTGATGCGTAGTGTAGCGTTGCAATTTGGTCCACACATGATTTGTACTTCCTGAAGCCTGTCTGTTCTGGTCGTAGTTTTGAATCCAGTGCATCTTTAAGCCTCTCTAGGATGATGCGGCTCAATAGTTTGCTCACTTGGGGTGGACAGGAGAGTGATTCTGCGCCCCTTCTTGCAAACACTGAGGTCTCCCTTCTTCACGAGTTTCACAAGGTAACCCTTCTTCCAATCACTAACCAGGTACCTTCTCTTCCTTCCACACCTTCCACAATAGTGGTGTGGTGTGAGCATGTCCGCTGCTGTTGTCTCTGCGTCTGTTCTCAGTGCTTCTGGCGGGGTCCCCTCTGGTTCTGCTGCTTTCCCACATTTCAGTAGCTTTATGGCGTTCAGGACTTCCACTTGTGTTGGAGGATTTATGTTCACTCGTAGTTCTGTGGCTGGGCTGCTGGTGGTATTTCTGGACGAAGTGCAGGTGGTGGTGGTGGTGGTGGTCGATTCAAGAGCTTCTTGAAGTGGTCGGCACATTGTTTCCTTTGTTTCTCTTCTTTCGTAATTGAATTTCCTTCTTCATCTCTTAATGGTTCCGTCTGCGTTGATCTCTTCCCAGACAGCAAGTAACCTGGTTATTTGATACAATGTTGTCAGGTCTCTATCTCTCCTACCTGCAGCCTGTTCTGCTTCACTTGCCAGTGTTTCGTAGAAGTATCTTTTGTCTTTCCACTCACTCTTCTTCACTTCTTTGTCCAGTGTAGTGTTTTATACATTGTACTCAGTTCCTCTTGTCGTTGAGCATCCTTGCACTGGTTTATCTTCTGCTTCACCATCCTCCTCTCCCTGCTCTATCAGTTCCATGTATCCGTCGAGATACATTCCTTGTCTTGCCGCTTCCTCTTCCTCTTCCTTCCTAACATGGTTATGCAGGTTTCTTTCCACATCTCTTTCAAAGACTTCCAGTGTTCACCCACACAGGTTTCTTCACGGATGTTGCTCGTTATCTCCCATTTTGTCTTGATGGCTGGCTGTCGTGAAGATTTTCTTTGTAGTTTCGTCCTTCAGTTTTCGAGTGTTGTACTTGAACTGTGTGTGGTCTATCACCAACGTCTTTGAATTGAAGGCTTTTAACTTGATTTGGAAGGTAGGTTCCTTGCACTAGATAGTGAGTGGTCTGAACCTAAATCTGCTCCTCTTCTTGACCTTGTGTCAAGATTGAGATAAAGTCGATTTGATTTTCAGTGTGTCCTGGTGTCTGGTGAAATCCATGTCGCTTTGTGGATATCTTTGTGCTTGAACACACTGCATAGCCTTTAATCACCAAATCGTTGAATGCACGGAATTCTGCAAACAATTCTCCGTTCTCTTTCACCACCTCACCGAGCGCTTCTCGACCCATGGTTAGTTCTCTTCCCGTGTTGTCCCCTCCCAGTTTGGCATTCATGTCACCCTGTCCATTAGAATTTTGATATCGCCAACTGACGTCTTGTCCAGTGTTGATTGCAGTTGTCTCTAAAATTCCTTCGTTTTCTCTTGCTCTGCATTATTTGTAGGTGCAAAGCATTGTATGATTGTGACCTTCCTTCCTTTTGAGTTGAACCTCGCTGTCATGATCCTGGAGGAGATTTGGTTCCCACTGCATGAGAGCCTTCGATGCTGTTGGGGACTTCATGATAGCCACTCCATAACTCAGTGTGCTCGTGGTTATCATCTGGGTGACAATATCGCAGTAGATTATTGATTCTCCAGTTGACATTTCGGAGAGTCCACTCCCATTATATCTGCTTTCGCAAATTCCAAGCACTTCATTGTGATACCTCTTCATCTCGTTTGCAATCTGGGTTGCCTTGCTGGGCTCAAACATGGTGCGGACATTCCATGTCTCCACGTTTACTTTTGCTTTCATCGAGAGAGGCGAAAACACATTGGCCTGGCTAATTGGCTTCCCGAAGGCCTTCACCAACTGGCGTCATTTCGCTTCTCCGATTCCAGAGAGGAATAATTTTGTTATAGTTTTTTTAAATATCATTTGTGCTTTGAAGTTTGTTTAGCGGTTAGATTTGTTTTACGGGGTAGGGTTGCTAGCCGTATGCCCAACCTTCCCTCTTTATCCGGGCTTAGGACCGGCTAGTAACTAGTGAACTAGTTAACCAGGCATTTAAGTTATACGTATATTTCACCTACTCTTATGAAGAATATGAAAAAGAAAAATGAGATCCCGAAAATTAGTAATTATATTTTAAAAAGAGACAGGTATTTTCAAAACATTCGGTAAAACATTTGAGTAAATGATAGGAAACTGGACTGCTACATAATATTCAAAACATAATTTAGAAACGAGAAACAACATATGTAGCATAAATTTGTACACAGATGGTAGGAGCATACTGATACTCGGGCAAACATTTAAATTTTCTTAGAATAAGGAAAATTAGTAGAATACTAGATTTGTACTGAGAGGTTTCATAATCATTCAGTGTAGATAAGAGACAATTATAAAATTATGCTGAAAATGAAATATACACACAGTAGGAGGGAAGAATACTCACGAAACTGGAAACACATTTATCCATGCATATTTATATAATGAAGGCTTTTTCTGAAGATAGATTTTATGTATAGAGGTTTATAATCAGTAAACGGTTTCTGTGTATCTAGATGTTTCATTTGAGTAACTTATAATATAAATCTGTTTTTTCACACAGTTAAGGAAGCTCGATTTGTATGTTATTCATGAGTCTTGATAAGTCTTGCTGAACTTGGTTTTGCTTCATGTGAATCAGTGCGAAATAGGGAACGTCGACGATTTGTGTGTGTTGTGCTGCCAACAGACCATGTAGAATGAACGAATTTTTTATGAGTTTTACCAGGCTCATATATTGATAAGGGTGATGCAATATGTGGTGGAGTGGTTGTCCTGCTTGACCTGCTGACTTTACGAAACAAAGATGGAGTGTACGATTTTGGATGCATCAAATTAGATGATAGGCTGACACTTCGTGATATATTGTTTTTTTCGATTTACCACTTAAATTCTCCGCGCTGTTACGTGTGATCATTTTATCTCTAGATTTTGAACTACTTCGGTTTGAAAAAACTGATGATTTACGACTGTGTAGGTCATGGTAATATGCTTGAAGTTGTCCCATAAAATGTAAATTTGGTCCGGCTACAGATCTACGAGCTTGTACATATTCGAGTGCTTTGAATAAATTTAGAGTACGATTGCTGTATAAAAGATAAGCTATAACAACAGCAGCCGATCGCGATACACCAGCTAAACAGTGAACAAGAACAATTCCACTTTGCTTTCGAGCCTTTTCTGCAAAATAAGAAAACAATCCGTGATATTTAAACTGGTACAACTGAATAAACTATCTGAAAAGCTGAATACAGTCGAGAAATATGTGTATTTGTTTAAGTTTGATGGTTCGTGGGAAGTGATTGATTTCAGAGTAGTGTACATCATGAACTGACACCAATTGCAAAACCATTAAAACCCCGTTCAGTGTCCCTGAATCTTCAGTGGTTCTATAGCTGGAGTCGGCTCGTCATGAATGCAACTTTGAAGTATGTTTCGTTTAGCTGCTGACGTCTTTCAGGAGGAGGTAATTTAGGTGAAAAAACATTTTTGCTTTTTCCACTCGATTTAAACTACCCTACGAAAACTGTGCAGATATGACGGCAGATGCAGTAGGTTCAATTATTTATTCATTGCCAAATGTTATCTGAAAATTCCTAAAGCTATACAAGTATAAATCGTAGAACATGTCATACGGTACAGCTAAGCACTATGTTTCCATATAATTTAAGCAAAATTTTGGCTGCTTCTCATTCAAAGTATTATGACAGGATAAAATTAATGCTTCTTGTATCACTTAATTTTAAGTCGCCGTCCATACAATGGTAGGCCAAACAGCTTCATGCATTTCTTTCCCTCATTCTTTCTTTTTTTAAATTTACTTGAGTGACTCAACTCTAATCTGTATTTGGACCCTAGAATACATCATCCAGTACCACTTAAGGCAGGCTTCGTTAAATGCCTAAGTAGCTGGGTACGCAACATGACGAGCTAATGAGAAAACCTAGGTTAAGAAGTGAGACATAAAAGGATTTATCATTGCTCAGTAACAATCCCGGTGAGATAATCCGGGGAAACTGTTGTCAGTGAAACACCGGAGACGGTTTTTGAAACCTCCATAGTTTTCCAAAGAAGGTATATCTGAAGCTCCACGTAAGGCTTAATAAGGCAGAAATTAGAGAATCATTTAAGTTTACAAACTCCCTTGGAGAAACTTTACCGGTTAAGGGATCTTATCGAAACTACCTCTACAGAATTACATGTAGTAACTGTGAGATCAAACACATTGGAAAAGCTAGCCTACTGGGATCAATTAGGTCAACAGAACATAAAAATCCAGCAAAAACTAGAATGCAAGATTCCATATTAGATTTGTTTATTTGATATATAGCGCACAGTGATACAATATTATTTACTTGATTACGTTTCGAGCATAAATTATTGCTCGTAATCATATCAATGTAATCATGCTTCTTTCGACATCTGATTTTATAGTCCTGTCACCTGATTTTTCTTTGTTTTCTGTTTTTTGATTGGTAGTAAAGTTTTCCATATCTCTGGTATAGGTGTTGCGTCATTCCTAATACATGTGTTGGGTGTGGATTCGATGAACAAAGATTCAGTAACTAACCTCTCTCTCCACCTAGCTATATTAGTTTTAAGTACAGTGGTTTTGTCCCACCCTATTGTGTGGTTGTGTGTAATATGAATGTAATGCAATGGCCGAGTGTTTTTCTAGATTATTGATCTTATTAGGGTCTGTCATTCTATGTTCAGCTAAATTCCTATGTTCTGCTAATCTAACTGACCCTGACCGGCTAGTTTGACCTATGTATTTGACCTCACAGTCATTACATGGAATTTGGTAGATTATATTGGTATGATTATGGTATGGTATGGGTGTGATTATGAGCAATAATTTATGCTCGAAACGTAATCAAGTAAATAATACTGTATCACTGTGCGCTATATATCAAATAAACAAATCTAGTATATTATTTTGCCTAATTGGTTCTATCGGATCTTTTAGCCGACAAAGCTTACCTCTAAGTGAGTTTGTTGGTTTAAATGCCACCCTAATTCCAACCTTGTTGAGAATCCTACGTATGGTTTTTGATATTCCTTTCGTGTATGGTATCACAATAGAGGTGTTGATTTCCTTTCTACTTATGTTGTCTCTATTATTTGTATTTGTATTACTGTTATTATTTTGCTTATTATGTGTTTGTGTGAATTTCTTAATAAAATGATGAGGATAATTATTAATTATTAACGCTTCTTTTATGTATTTCAATTCCTTATTTAAGTCTTTACAATGACTAGTGAGTTTCTTAGCTCTGTTATTTAGACATTTGACTAAAGCCGCTTTAACTGACACTGGATGGGATGACTTGAAGTCTAGATGCCTGTTAGAATGTGTTGGTTTTCTGTAGACGGTAGTATCTAAACCACCATCTGTCCTTCGTTTTATTCTGCAATCCAACATAGGTAATTCTCCTTATCCGTTTTCTACTTCGTAAGTGAATTGGATTGCGTTAACTACTGAGTTTATGTATGTCAAGAAACTGTCGATATGTTCTGATTTCAACACTGTAAATGTGTCATCCACATATCACCACCATATCTTAGGTGTCGGATTATATGTTCGTAAAGCCATATCTTCCTAACTATCAATAAATATATCTGCTACTATATGGGGATATGAGTGATCCCATTGCTGTTCCTTCTGTTTGTCTATATTATCTTTCCCTGAAACTTGAAGACTGTCGAGGTCAAGCATAACTGCACTCCTAACATGATTTCATAAACGGATGCCTTAGTTCTTTGAGTAGGTTGTGAGTCAGTATCTAGTTGATTTCTGACTGCCTCTGGTGCCATATTGATTGGTATTTTAGTATAAAGACTTGTTACGTCAAAACTAACCATTTCTTTTTTCATTCTGTTCTATGTGCAGGTCATTAAGTTTTTGTTTTAACTCGTAAGAATTTACTAGTCTAGAGTTTGAACGGTCTCTAATAGGACGTAATACTGATGCTAAATACTTTGATATCTTATATTTTGGTGTGTTCCGGAAGTCAACTATCGGCATATTGGGATAACCTGCTTAATGAACCTTAATAGTAAGGTAAATTCTGCTAGGATTATTAGTTTTTGGCATTAAAGTAAACCATTCGGACTTAAATAAGGAATTGAAATACATAAAAGAAGCGTTAATAATTAATAATTATCCTCATCATTTTATTAAGAAATTCACACAAACACATAATAAGCAAAATAATAACAGTAATACAAATACAAATAATAGAGACAACATAAGTAGAAAGGAAATCAACACCTCTATTGTGATACCATACACGAAAGGAATATCAAAAACCATACGTAGGATTCTCAACAGGTTGGAATTAGGGTGGCATTTAAACCAACAAACTCACTTAGAGGTAAGCTTTGTCGGCTAAAAGATCCGATAGAACCAATTAGGCAAAATAATATACTAGATTTGTTTATTTGATATATAGCGCACAGTGATACAGTATTATTTACTTGATTACGTTTCGAGCATAAATTATTGCTCATAATCACACCATACCATACCATAATCATACCAATATAATCTACCAAATTCCATGTAATGACTGTGAGGTCAAATACATAGGTCAAACTAGCCGGTCAGGGTCAGTTAGATTAGCAGAACATAGGAATTTAGCTGAACATAGAATGACAGACCCTAATAAGATCAATAATCTAGAAAAACACTCGGCCATTGCATTACATTCATATTACACACAACCACACAATAGGGTGGGACAAAACCACTGTACTTAAAACTAATATAGCTAGGTGGAGAGAGAGGTTAGTTACTGAATCTTTGTTCATCGAATCCACACCCAACACATGTATTAGGAATGACGCAACACCTATACCAGAGATATGGAAAACTTTACTACCAATCAAAAAACAGAAAACAAAGAAAAATCAGGTGACAGGACTATAAAATCAGATGTCGAAAGAAGCATGATTACATTGATATGATTACGAGCAATAATTTATGCTCGAAACGTAATCAAGTAAATAATATTGTATCACTGTGCGCTATATATCAAATAAACAAATCTAATACTGAATTACAGTCTACCACAGTGCCCAAGTTTTATACTTATTTTAGAATGGAAGATCGCAGTAGGATGATAAATCTAGAATTGAGATCAGTGTTATCAATGTATGCTGTCACGCATAATCAAGTTATAGGGCGGGTAAAGTCACAGTTATAAAAAGTAATTTGGATACATGAGGAGAGATTGGTAACCAAAGCTTCGCTTATTGATTCGACACCTGAAACGTAAACGGAGTGATGTAACACCAATTCCGGATTTGTGGAATTTTTATTACCAGTTATTTCAAAGAATGAAACTCAACAAAACCATAAGAAACCTGATCAAAAGAATGTGCGATTACCATGATATGACGAGAAGTTGTGAACTCTTATTCAAACAATCAGTGAATGCGGTTTCACTTTGTGAAACCTATGAGAAGTGATTTATAGTTGAATTACCCTATACCAATGTCGTGATGGCCCCTGACTACATTATTATATTTCGAAATTTTTGATGGCTGCCAAAAATATGAAAGCTGATTTAATCATAATTTGGTTATTTTTAACAAATTATTATAAACTAGCGATATAAAATCAATGGGACTTATTAAAACTATTTATGAAAAGTTAAGACCTGGACTTAAATGCATCACTACATTTTTTATAGTGCGTATCTCAAGTATTTTCATCATAAATTGGTCAAGACTGCTTAGGGGAGTAAAGTCGGTATACTTCAAGTAAGCTTATTTTATTTTGCGTACCTGCTTGCGTTTGCGACATTGACGAAAAAGTTGAAATGTAATTATAGTAAGTCAATGTTAAACTATCATTTAAGACTTCCAGTAACTAAAATTTAGTTTATGCATATATATATATATATATATATATATATATATATATATATATGACACAAAGTGAAATTCAAGAGGTAAACGATAATTTTGAAACATACCTATGAACTGTACAGCTCTGTCAAATGCTGGGCGAAGATTTTGATCTGTAGTATCTGATGCCGGTATGCGTAGGTATTGTATATGATTAAGCGTCTAAACGGCATGGGTAGTGTATCTGTCACGTTGACTATATGTGTGACTTTCAGCTTTCGAAGGAGATCAACATCTTGTGAATCACGTGCATTACCTTTATGAGTGAAGTAGGGAAAAAGATATATGAGTATGTGAGAACTAACTGTTTGATGTAATTCTTTGGTTAATCTGTATATTAGCCTCAGAAAAAGGATTATATACACTCATACAATTGTTCGACTGATGAACAAAATGAAACCCTAAGGATAGTAGCAGCAGAAAATTAGCTTACGTGCATACACCATCAATAGATTGATCAGAGAAGGAAAAATGGCTGTTCATCATGGCTCACTTTAGGCTATCTGGCACTTTTCATAAATTTAGACTTGTTCATTTCAAAAAAAGAGAGGTTTCAACCAATACAAGTAATTAGTATGGGACTATTCCTTGGAGTGAGGTTTCAGTACTTTGCATTGGAACGAGATCTTGATTTACAAATGTACCTCCAACTTTTATTAAAACAATTAACTTGCAAAGCTGTTCCTTGACATTTCAAGATGTGTAGTGATTTGATTTACTTTAAGTAATGGAAACTAGTCAAATCAATCCTTCTTTGGTCACGTGCCTTCGTTTGAAATCCAATTTCTGTAATAGGACTGTGTTACACTTTCATTCTGAGATCTCACATTAGCTTTGTGCCATAAACTAACATATACTTGTGGTTAACGACTAGCTACGTGTTTTACTTGCTTACAATATTTGCACAGTTTTGCTTTAAACTACTTGCTGCTTATTCACATATTATTAAATAAGAACATAGAAATTAACCTAGCCAGTAATTGCTTGACATGTGAAGAGAGCTGTAAGGAGTGGTTTGAAATATGGTTGATTTTGTACAGCCTACACATAAATTTTCTGAGAGACTCACTAATGAGATGATTGTGATATTTTTTAAGAGTAGTGAACTATTTTGCATAAATATATCATGCATAATTCGTATAAATCTTGAAAAATCATTACTGTATACTTTACAATCATCAACCTTTTCACTATTCAACTTACACTTTCTACTTATTTCCATAAGCCTACAGATTTCAGAGCAAGTTTCATTATTAAAATGATTCAAAGTGAGAATCACCGGAGCCCAAAGAGCATTGAACAGCGGTTTTCTCCTAGATTGAGAATTTACAGTGTGCATCAAAGCTATACTTTTCAAAACCTACGGCACTGCTGTCTGACTGTATAGAAGATGCATTTCTCAACTATTGTTTTATCTTTAGTTGATCAACATTGCCCATTTTATCCGGAAGCAAGTAAGAATGCTACTGAAATACTGTAACATTCTTGTAACATCTAGAAGAGTACAACCTTATTAAATGGGAAACATTTTTAGGGAACGAATTAACCCAGAAAATTATAACGGAAAAATAAAAGTAAAAACTCGCTGAAATATAAAAACGCATGTGGAAATACAAATGAAGTGGATACGAAGGCCAAGAGAGTAGTTTTTCAACGAATGACGCAAAAACTCAAGACGTCTGAATTTGTATGGTAGTCTAATCAACTATTAGTTTGCTACATCCGCTGTCTCTTTTATATGGTTGTTACATTTTAACTTTTTATTTCAAATTGTCAAATCATGTAACATAAAGACTTGTTATGGATAAGCATTAATTACTTCTATCATATTCGTAAACGACGGTCTAGAAGTCGTAAACTGTCCGACTAAACAATAAGTTAATTATTCTTTGTTCTTGTCTTATTTCCATATAAACCCTCAAGCCGTCTTACAATAAGTTACCTATAAGTCATAGTCATCTCGGTCATTAACGTTTGACAATTGTTTGTCACTCACTTTTCGAAAGTGCTGTGCATGGATCCGACTTCAAAACTGAGTATGATAAACTGCTTTAATTTTCAGGTGAGTAGAAAACATTAAATGATTTGAAGATTACAAGGTTTATTCAGTTTATGCGACAGGGGGGAATCCAGTGATCTATAACAGATCAAAACCACTATTAAAACTGAAAGTTATTGGGAACAGGTTACTTTGAAAGGCAGTGATATAAAACAAATTTATTAACTAGGTCTTGCTTGACAATACAACATTTTTAGTCAGAGAGTAGATTAAGTTCATGGACCACTCGTTCTTTTCCAGTTGAAATTCAAAACTTCAAGTTAACAGTGACCTATTCCTAGGAAAACAGGCTGGCAGTAAGAAAGACCTGACAACATTATATCAACCGCCATTACAGAAGCTTTGCAAGGAAGGAAGTGTACCTGCTAACTAATTGGAAGAAGGGCTACCTTGTCAAAATTTCTTCGTAAGAACTGGTGAGGAATCATGCTCCTGTCCACCCCAACCAAAATATTAAGCCGAATCATCCTGGAGCGACACAAAATATGCCCTGGATTCAAAATTACGACCGGAACAGGTTGGCTGGCTGGCTGGCTGGTTTCAGGAAGAACAAATCGTGTATGGATCAAATGGCATCACTACACTACGCATCATCTTAGAAAAGAGCAAAGAATAACAGTCAACTCTCTACCTCAAATTCATCGACTCTGAAAAGGCTCTCGACAGCGTCGACCGAGAAGCCATTTCATTGCTGCTTGAACACTAGGGTTTTAGTGACACAAACCTTTATCAACCTCATTCAACAACATTATGAAGACGCCACATGGCAAGTAACTCACAGTGGGAATCTCAGTGATGCCTTTGAAGTGAAGACAGGGGACAGGAGTAAGACAAGGCTGTCGCCTACTATCACCCATGATCTTCCTGATTGTGATCAACTGGAATAGACTGGACTGGTTCATGAAACAGACAACTGTGAGGCGTGAGAAGAGTGACGTATGCTGGCTGGACCGATGAACAGAACCCAGGAGAAGATTTGGATTTTGCCACCGATGATGATTTATGTCTCATGTCTTGTTGCAGAAACTCGAAGATCTACAGGCGAAAACCAACAAGTTGACAGAAGAGGCAGGGCAGTGGAGATGGGACCTCCTCAGGTGAACGTAGAGAAGACAGAGATGATGAAGATACCCAACCAACAACAGCATCAACAACAAGCACCAATCACCATTAACAGGAGAAACCTGAAAGAAGTTGTCTCTCTCACCTACCTGCCTAGGCAACATCATTTCAACTACAGGTGAGGATGTCAAAGCCAGGATTGAAACGACAGCAAGAGAGAGCTTCATTAACCTGAAACCAGTATGGAGATCTGCTGCATTCCACTGCGTATAAAGAACAAGATCCAGATCTTCGACACCAATTCATTCATGTCAGTCAGTGTCTCTATGTGATGGTTGAGAGACTTGGAGCGTTACGAAAAGTATTTACAAGAAACTACAGATATTCATCAATAGTTGCCGCCTATGTCCACTTGTTACTGAGATCAGATCAGATGGTTTGAATAATAAGAATAAGCAACAAGAAACTCTGGCTGGCTGACAACAAACCAACCAAGAACCAATCATCAAAAAAACATTCAGAAGGATAAATTGTAGATGGATTCGGCATACACTGAGTTGCAGGTGGTGGTAGGGATCGATTCAAGAGCTTTTCGAAGTGGTCAAACCATTGTTTCCTTTGTCTCTACTCTTTCGTAATTAGATTTCCTTCATCATCTTCTAGTGGTTTCATCTCCGTTGACCTCTTCCCACATAGTAACCTGGTTATTCGATATGGTGTTGTCAGGTCTCCATCTCTCCTACCTGCAGCATGTTCTGCTTCATTCACCAATGTGTCGTAGAAGTGTCTTTCATCTTTCCGCACACTCTCCTCCACTTCTTCGTCCAATACAGTGATTTATAGGTTGTGTTCAGCTCCTCTTTTCTTTGTCCATCCCCGCATTGCACTGCACTGCACTGCACTGCACTGCCACTGCACTGCACTGCTTCATCTTCTGCTTCACCATCTTCCTCCCCCTCTCCCTCTCCCTCCTCTGTCAGCTTCCATGTGTCCGTCGACATACATTCCTTGTCTTGCCGCTTCCTCCTCCTCTTCCTCTTCCTAACACGGTTATGCAGGCTTCTTTCCACATCCCTTTCAAAGACTTCCAGTGTTCATCCACACAGGTTTCTTCACGGATGTTGCTCGGTATCTCCCATTTTCCCCTGATAGCTGACTGACTGACTGACTGACTAGCGTGAAGATGTCCCTTGTAGTTTTATCCTTCAGTTCAGTTACTGTTCTGGGTGGTTGTTCAACTTGAACAGTGGTCTATCACCAGCTTATTCGAAGGCTTTCAACTTGATTTGGAAGGTAGGTTCCTTGCACTAACCAGTGAGTGGTCTGAACCTACATCTGCTCCCCTTCTTGATTTTGTTGGCTGATCCAGTTGCCTGAGTCTCCACTTTCTTCACATCGAAATGAAGTAGATCCGACTTTTAGTGTAGTGGGTCCTGGTGTTGGCTGTCTTGGAACCAAGTTGAAAAGATTTCAGAGAAGATTGTGAGATGGAGACGTGCTACTGAATCCCTATATTCCATTAGGAACCTAAGGGACAAATAATAAAAAATAATAAATATCTATAAAATTGAAATAGGAATTTTCCCAATGTTTCGTTCTTTACGCCAGAGCATTTTAAGCACAACATATAGAATATTTTACTGAAAATGCTGTTATTTATGCGCTGAATTGATATAAAATATGTTTTTGTTTTTCTGATTATGATGCACTAGCATAAGTATATATTCATTTTATTCAAAGTTGTATATTTTTTGCTTGTGGAATATCGGTGTTGCTGATTTGTGTTTCTTACCTGAAAGTAAATTGATTTTCTGTCACTGAAAATTGGTTGGGCATGGCTGAAAGGAGGCTTACTTTTCTAAATGGAAGAAGGAAGATCTCATGAGAATAGCCTAATGTTTAAATGCGTGTCACTATCGTACTTTAGTGAAATTATATAAATCTGGATATTACTCAGGGTATTCATTTCCGAACACATTTACAACCTCATAACTGTAGCATGTACCTTTATCATCGACATGGATGTACACATTCATATTTAGACAATCACATATACAGTCAAATATTTATCCCTTCGTTTGACTTAATGTGTTGTTAAAAATTCCCATTATGTAAATTATAACAAGACATGTAAGCAAACACTATTGTTTTCAATTCGATTTCATCAGGCTTCAATCTTATAGACATAACTTTCAACGTATTTGTAAAATGTCAACTAATCAAGGTAATTTGTGAGACAATGACAACAAGAAATATGGACTGTAAAAGAATCAGTGCGAATGTTCATAATGAAACGACAATATGTTCAGACAGATAGACAGACAAAGTAGGTCAAAGATTACAAAATGGATTATAAGATGGTGACGCTGAAGGATGAAGGCGGGGAAAAAATAAAATTCGAATGTGAATATGGTAGTCGTGGCATTCTGAACATTCCTATTAATCCTTTTACAATCTATATTTCTTGTTGTCTATGTCTCACATATTACCTTGATCGGATAATATTTCATGAATATGTTGAAAGTTATGTATTAAACATTGAAGTCTGATGAGATATAATTGAAAACAATGTTGTTCGCCTACATGTCTTGTTATAAATATGTTTCATCATCATTATCAACATAGGACCAGGCATTACTGCGTAACGGTCCGAGTTGCCACACCTCATATCAGCACATCAAGTAAAAAGGTAGTGAGGTGAAGGATGAAGATAAGTGAATGCAGTCAAAAGAAATATAAAGTACGAGAAGAAAGGAAAGAGGAGTGACAAAATAGTGAGATTCGGTATAGCGTTGTTAAGATGAGGATAATGTGTGTATACATCTGCGCCACTGACTTCGGTTCTGAGCCATATCACCTAGGGTCTCCAACCACTGGTTCCTCTTGTCCCGTGGACCCCAACCACCTAGTCTGCATCGTCCTACATGGCTTAAACCAACAGTCAGAGACTTCATACATTGGTGCCATGTTTTAGTCTGGCCACCTCGGGCCTTTTTCCAGCCTGAACCCACCTCAGCCAACATTGTGTGACGAGGCAATCGGTGACTAGGCATACGTAGTACGTGTCCCAACCATCTCAGTCGATGAAGGTTCACAACCTCGTCGACTGACTTACCTCTTCTCCCTAAAACTCTACACCTAACTTCTGCATTACTCACATGGTGACACCACGGAATACGTCCTATACTACGAAGGCAACGGTGGTCAAACACCTGAAGCCTTTTTGTCTTCCACTTTCAATGGCCATGTTTCACAGCCATACAGTAGAACAGAGCGGACTGCTGTGCAGTACACGCGACCCTTAATAGACAAACGAATATCACGGCGGCGCCATAGGTGGCGCAAATTGGCAAAAGCCAATCGAGCCTTTTGTATCCGTGCAGAAATCTCATCGGCAACTAACCCACCGGGTTGATCCTACTTCCCAGGTAAGTGAAGTGGTCAACACACTCAACCACTTCACTCTCTATTGTTAACCGCGGTACCGCTGAAGACCAGTCCTGGAGCAAAAATTTGCATTTGGGTGGTGAAAATCGCATCCCAAACATTCTCAAATTCCCACTCAAAGTGTTCAGAAGACTCTGCATCTTGTCAGCGTCTTCACCTAACAGGACTATGTCATCTGCATATTCTAGATCTAAGGAAAATTCACCTGTGATCGGGTCAACGTCTTTGTAATTAGGTGACGAGAGGGAAACCTCCATAAGAATATCTATGATAAAATTAAATAAGAATGGGGATAGTGGGCATCCTTGACGGACACCACTTGATGAGTATAGCTCCCTGGACAACTCACCATAGGCTCTAACATGCCCACAAGTGTTCGAGTAGAGAGCTTTCAATAAGGTGATGTACTTACTAGGCACGCCTTTCAGTGACAGACACTGCCATAAGACTTCTCGATCAACGGAGTCAAATGCCGCCTTCAGGTCGAGAAATACAGCTATTGTCGGGCGTCTGTAAGCATGCCTATGTTCCAGGACCTGGCGCAGTGTGAATATTTGGTCGATACATCCACGGCCAGGTCTAAAGCCTGCCTGGTTTTCTCGGGCTTGCTGTTCCCGAGCTCCACTCAGGCGTCGGAGAATTATAGAACTTAGGATCTTAGACACTATGTTTGTCAGGCTGATTCCTCTGTGGTTATCACAAGAGGACTTCTCGCCTTTCTTGAAGACTGGGATGATCAGTGACTTAGACCAGTCGGAGGGGATCGTATTTGATTCCCATATACTGGCTAACACTTCCGTTAGCCTGACTAAGAGAACTCTACCACCATTCTTGTATACCTCAGCAGGTAGTCCGTCTGGTCCTGCTGCCCTTCCCCGTTTCAGGCTACCTACCGCTTTCTCAACTTCTTCTAGTGTTGGGGGACCTGTCTCTATGTCCCATTCAGGGTCCGACTGGATAGCGGGCAGCGCAATGGTGGCTGGAGGCCAGTTAAACTGTTCCTCAAAGTGTTCTGCCCATCGTCCCAGTCGCCTTCCCTGCGAGTGAATCGCCGATCCGTCCTTCTCCGCTATAACCTCACTAACTGTTGTTGACCATTTCCCCCCAGTCTCCTTAATAAGTCTAAATAACTGTCTACTGTTACCGATCGCCGCTGCCTTTTCCATCTCTTTAGCCTTTGCTGCCCACCACTGTTCACGATCGTTGCGCAGACTTTTCGTCAGTTATTTTTAAGTTGCGCTCGCTCTTCATTGTACTCAGAGCCTGCAGGGATGCATTCACGTGCATCCATTAGTTTGGAAGAAGCTGCTGATATCCACTGGCTCTTTTTAGCCATTATCTTGGAGTCGGCTACAGTCTCCAGTGCTGCTTTTACAGTAGACTGAAGATGGCACCAAGCTTCTTCTGGATGAGTGACAGTCTTTTGTTCCGATAACTGCCTAGCCAACTTCTCACTGAACACGGCTTTGGTGTTTTCGTTGTCCAGCAGAACTCGTAGTGGTTTTGTTGCCAAATTTTTTCTACGTCCATTGAGACGCAGGCATATACGTGCTCGGACCAACGCATGATCGCTGTCCAAACACGTACTCTTCCACCGATCCTCTCCAGCGATGACTAATAGCAATGTGGTCTATCTGTGTCCATCGCTGAGTCGAGCTCGGTGGACGCCAGGTCAGACAGTGCCTTTCTTTATGTCTGAAATTTGTGCTGGCTAAAAATAGGCGGTTATCTGAGCATAGTTGTAATAGGCGATCACCGTTATCTGTACGTTCAGCTGGGATTCCGAAAGTGCCACCTAAGTGCCTTTCTGCCTCACTCAGTCTACCCACCTGTGCGTTGAGGTCACCTGCAACAACCACTACGTCCGAACGTTTGGCTTTCGAGAGGAGGTTAGACAGTTTATGGTAGAACTCGTCCTTCACTTCATCCGAACTACAGTCAGTGGGTGCGTAAGCAGAGATTACAAAGAGACAACGGCGAGTCTCACTATTCCTTTTAGTTCTCACTGTGCCGTTCAGCCTCATAGCGCAGAGGCGACTATCAACTGGGATCCAGTCTAGTAGTGAGTTTTCTGCCCTGGTGCTTAATGCTATACCTACACCTGCAAGACCACGAGAGCTAGCTATCGAATCTCCAGAAACTCGAAGGGTGAATTTTGCAGATTCACCAGATTGGTCAGGAGAGGTCAGGTGAATAACCACACTTGGGTCCTGTATGCGTGTCTCACAAACACAGCACACATCCATGCCCGAGTTGCTAGAGTCTTTGCCAACGAAGCCTGTTGGCCAATTTGACGGAGGGTGCGGACATTGAAGGCTCCAATATGTAATTTGGAGCGTGGTTTAAGGAGACCAGGGATGCTGTTCTGTGGACTCAGATCGTTGTCGAAGGCTGCAGAGGTAGGAGAAATTGAAGATGATGCAGCATCATTAATTAAGAGACGTGAAGGAAGATTAGAAGGTAATGATGGAGGAGGAGGATAGCAGTCAGAAGAAACTTGGGTGCTGACAGAGTTGTGAGGGCGGTTGACACTTCCCGGCTGCCCACACCGTGGAAGGCTATTTCTTCTTAAGGTACCTGAAAGAGATTTGTGTGACCGCAGAGCCCATCGGACATCTGCTTGAGGCCTGTCACACCCAGCCTTTTGAGTATGATTATTTTGAATTTTGTATTTTTGGGGCCGGATGGTCGAAAGGAAACGACAAGTGAACCAACACCGCCGGCCCGGCAGACCGTGGGGCGTGGTGGAGTGTGTTATTTTTGGGGCCGACCTTTTCTAACCCCCCCTTCCACTGAGAAGGCAGCATCAGCTTGGCACTGCTGGTCATCCAAGGGAAACACCTTACTGCTGTCACACCCCATCCAGCTAGCAGCAGTACGACTTCGCCCTCAGACCCCCATCATAGTGTAGCAATTTACACTATAACGGTAACTGCTTTTCGTCTAACCACTACCCAACAGACCTTTCTGGTATGGTAGGACCTCGAGGGAACAAGCGTTCCACCAGCATAGCTCGTTGGGTCATTGTGATATGCAAGCCCGACCACCACGTCAAGGTAGCAGCTATCGGTCGGGATAAATATGTTTCGCGTTAAAAGTAATAGTTGCTCTTTAGAAACATCCAAATACCATAGTTCCTTTCACATTTCATCATTATTTTTCCTGACCAAGTCTCTACATCGTGGAAATCAACTAAATAAAGAAAGTTTAATTACTTACCTAGGTAAAGAAATGGTAAAATTTGTGAAATACATGCACCTAAAACATCTTCATTGTTCTGTTGTGTTTGAGAAACCCTTGATGGGGCCTGTTTAATACGCACAACTAATGTTTCATCACCAGAGCAGTCTTTCAAACAGGAAATAATTTTTTCTGTTTCCCCGCTATCAAAATCATTTGAGTGAAAACATGATACATCTGTTGGAATAAAGCAATTATCATTATCAATACAACTTTTTTGTTTAACAGTTTGATTTTGATTTGAAGCACCTTGTTTGTCATCATTCAAAGTGATGACAAGTTTTTCACTGAATACACGTGATACAATAGAAGAATGATCAGAATTGTCACTGAGTGAAGCAGGTGATGCCGCTTCTGAACAAGAACTGTCGTCAGTATAAAAACAATTAATGAAAAGTGGTGACTGTCTATCAATGAAATCAACGGAACCTCGGAGGCTTCTAAACGCTTCAAAACCACCTATAATTATAAAAAGAAACAAAACCGCATTACAAGTTCAACATGTACTGAACAATTTGTATGAAATAAAAACTAATCAATCAGTTTATTACTAAATTAATTAACTTTTCAGTGTTAGAAGTTATTTTTTTATTTAGCCACCTTTTTCATGATACCTATGTTTACATGACGGTATTTGAGTTCTTGTGTGACTCCACACACAATGATACGAGTTCAAATACTGATCTTCATACTGTACTTTAAAAACTTCCAACTTTGTAGAGAATTGAACAATCTGTTGAACTAATATTTCAGGCCTCTGAAATTCACTATAGTCGCACATCCCATAATGGTGGACGGAAATAGCAGCTCAAAAACGAAACCTGCTGCGATCATTATCAAACATTGTCATTTATCATTTATAGATTAGTGTTTTGCATAGTCACAATAATATCCCCCATGATATTCCTGATTGTGTTGTGGTCGACTGGATCATGCAACAAACAGTGAGGAGCTGTGAGAAGAGGGGATACGCTGGCTGGACTGCGGAAAACTACCTAGAAGATTTCGATTGCACCAATGACTTGTGTCTGATGTCACACAAACTTGAAGATCTACAGACGAAAACTAACAAGTTGTCAGAAGAGGCAGGGCAGCGAAGGAAGACGGGACTTCAAGTGAATATAGAGAAGACAGAAGTGATGAAGATACCCAACCAACAACTCCAACAACAAACTCCAATCACCATGAACGGGAGAAACCTAGAGGAAGTAACCTCCTTCACCTATCTAGGAAGCACTGTTTCAACTACAGGCGGCACAGGCACAGACGAGGATGTGAAAGTCATAATCGGGAAGACAGCAAGACAGGCGTTCATTAACCTGAAACCAGTGTGGAGATCTTCTGCACTCCTCTCAGCATGTGGAACAAGATGTAGATTTTCAACACCAACGTGAAGTCAGTGCTTCTATTTGATGGTTGAGAGACTTGGCGCGTTATGAAAGGCATTTCCAACAAACTACAGACATTCATCAACAACTGCCTAGGCTGACTGGTGACTGCAGATCAGATGGGCAGAATAATAAGAATAAGCAAGAAGGAACTCTGGCTGGCTGGCTGGCTGGCTGGCTGGCTGGCTGGCTGGCTGGCTGGCTGGCTGGCTGGCTGGCTGGCTGGCTGGCTGGCTGGCTGGCTGGCTGGCTGGCTGGCTGGCTGGCTGGCTGGCTGGCTGGCTGGCTGGCTGGCAACAAACCAACCAAGAACCTATCACCCAACAAATATGCATTGGAAGGAAGTGGAGATGGATTGGGTTGGGCATACATTGAGAAGGCCGACTGGGAACATCACGCGACAGGCCAGATCGTTGAGTGGAACCCAGATGGGAAGCGACGAGTTGGGTGTCCGAGGTGAGGGTGACATGGAGGAGATGGTGTGAGGAGGAAATGAGAGGTTGTGAGCTGTCTTGGAACCAGGTTGAAAAGATTTCAGAGAAGAGAGTGTAATGGAGACGTGCTACTGAATCTTTATATTCCATTAGGAACCCAAGGGACTAATAATAAATATTAAAAGTAATTACAGTCACAATAAAGAATTATCATAACATGATATCAACTCCGAAACAACTGAGTAGAAATTGTTTTCAAACTGCTGGTGATATCTGAGAAAGAACATTCAGTATTTTCCGGTTACTGTATACATAAATATCATGTGCTAAGCTTCCTTTTTCTTGCGATATATTAAAGCTAACAGTATTCATATAGAGAAACAAACTATATTTCTAAAAATGTAAAAACAATAGTTAGGTTGGTCTATCTATAAAAAGTGACAATATATATATATGACTTAATTGAATGCTTGTGTGAATATATTTGGTCTACTGTGAATGGATTTGGCCTTGTAACATGACGTATTTAATAGTTGACTTTTATCACCTTAAGAGCTCTAGCTGAAGAGTTTATATATCCTCATACAGTTCGGACCAACAGCCAGTGATTTCATGGTCTGTTGCATCTAACTTCCGATGCCACTCATTTTTTCCTACTTAACCTTGGCCTTTGCAACAAAAGAAACTTGGAAGATTAAGGAATAAAAAGCGAAGCATTTTCATTTCACTAACAGTTAACGATGGAACTGGTTATTACATTAGGCAAAGTGTAGAAAAAAGTAATTTATTAATGGGTTTCTTTCAAGTCATTAAACTGTCCCTATTGACCTATTAAGATTGAATTAATAATTAATTATATTTCTAAACTCTGAAGACACCTAATATTCCAAGTTTATTTTGAGCTATAGCCACTTATCAGATTTCCTAACTTACTGAGCATCTAGTATTATTACTCAGTAATGCTAATCTTGATGTATCGTGACGAATGAATCACTATGCAAAGACAACAATAATCAACTACGTACAGCATTAAACTACTGTCTGTCATCTGCACACAGGTCTCATGCTAAATATTTATTTCACAAATTAAGTTAGAATAGACTACATTCTGTTAGAATTCGATGGTCATTCGGTCTACTAAGTAAATGTTATGGGAATACTCAGCTACAGACTTATTTACCTTTATTTTTCTTTAAGTAACAACAAATATACTAATGAATTGAACAATCACGTGGAACAGATTTAGTATCCATAGGCTGTATGTTACTACTATTTTGCATAATCATCATTTAGCTATTCATTATGCACTATGTATTTACGCAAGTTTATTCAGTTTGTGTTTATTTGAAATTGAAAATTGATCTTGATTCCAAAAATAGTAGCTTCGGATTAGTCAAACTAAATTTTTTGAAATGATGTTTGAGAAGTAACTGAAAACATTTTATTTCTTATATAGTGGATAATACTAGAGTTATGATGTTAATCGCATAGAATATTACACGTTATGTTTTATTGAGAAAAGTACGAATCACAGGTTTACTACTGCAACCACTGAATATTTTTTAAGAAAAAATGTTAGGGTATATCGCTGATAACCAAATACAAAACCAGCTACTTAGATGAGTTTATTTGATGTCTTCTGATCAGGTAACCCCCCCCCCCCCAAAAAAAAAATTGTTTTAAATTCTAGGATAAAATGAAGCAATTTTCAGTGACGGATTCAATTCTGCTGTAGACACTTAACAAAATATAAACCTTTAATATGGAGTAAAACTTGAAATTTGCATTAACTAATTAACTGAACATAAGTTGTATCGACAAATATTTTGATAAACTGTTGAAAAACCATTAGGGAGATTATATACTTACACCACAAAACTGTACAAATGTAGTAATTACCATCTAATCAGTTAACCGGGGTTGAACGGTAATGATAAGGCATTCCTAAAATGTATTCGATGGGAAAGTCTACTTAGGAATTCGCCTCACTGCACAGTGCAATCGGCTATTAGTAGGCAGTCGAATATCATCCCGTCCAAGAAGATGGCGTAATTCAGCAAAAGCATAGCAAGTCATTTTTACTAGTTTCAGGATTTTTCTGGTCACTGACTGCTCAGAGCTGATCTAACTTCCAGAATAGGTGATATAGTAAGCATCCGTAACCACCTCACTCCTTACTATTTGAATAGGTCAAAAGAAGGCCACTCCTGTAGTAAACATTTGCGTTTGCCACTTTTAGTGTCCACACTACTGTGAATCTATTCAGTCACTTTTTGTATTCCCAGGAAAAGAGAGGAAGACCATAATTATATTCTTTTTCAATGAATTCAAATGAGAACTGAGAGTACAAACTACGTACCAAACGCAAGTTCATTTATATGAATGGGAATACTGCCTAAAATAGTATAATTTTGATGATGCCGGACTTTCATATCCATCATTCTACACTTCAGTTTCTCTTATCACTAACCTTTCTGTCCCAGCTTGCTTAATCCTTTCTAAGTAACTAAATACTGTTGCCAATTACTGCTTCGTTTCTGTCGGTTTGGCCATCACTACTCATGGAATTTACATAACCTCATCAGTTAACATTTAAGTTGCTTCCACTCCTCACTAAGCTTGGATACTCCGGAAATGCGTTCACATTTATATTTAGCATATCAGAAAATGCTACTGAGATGTACTGGCATTTTCTTAACTTTTTCTGAGGATCACTTATGGTCTCCAATGCTAATAAGACTGCAAACTGGGTACTATCTCAGGTTCTTTCAAGGTGACTAAGATTGTTCTGTCGTAATATCTTGCTAGTCAGCTTATTATCAAAACCATTCAAATAATTCTACACATCGAACTGTGCTTGGAATAGCGTTTTTACTATAGTTTCTCCACATCCGATTAGGCATTCATATAGCTGTTCTGAAATTACCTCGCGGCAGCCATCCAAACACTTGCTTCAGAAATCTCAACAATCTTTTACTGACCTTCACCAGTGGTATGGTAGCAGTATTGTTCATCTTTACCTACCATTGAGCTGACATCGGTGTACATCATATCAGAAAGTGTCTTTTTTTACATCTGAATTTTGTGATAGTAAAAAATAGTTGGTTCTCTAAGAGAAGCTGACACAAGTGACTTGTATTATACGTTCAAATGATAGGGATTCCTAAACTAAAAAACAATGGTTTACTATCTGAAAAGCCTTTTTTATTTATATTGCGAAAGCTCACTAGGACAACCAATTCTGAACATTTGACTTTCAGCCCGAGGTTAGACAGTTTTCGGTGGAATTCATTTTTCAATGTTTCTGAACTGCAGTCAGTGAATGAGTAAACAGAGATCATAAAGAAACTATAGCCAGTTTCATCACTGATCTGATTACTCGCTATACCGCTCAGCCAAACAGTACACATGCGATTTTCGGGCGAGATTCATTCGAGCGACGCACTCTGCCTTAGCACTTTAGAGTAAACCTGCACCTTCAAGATCAGAAAAAACTAGCTGCCAAATCTCTATAAGCCTGAATGTCATCATCAAGGTCAACACAGGATCAAGCATTACCACCTAACGGCTTAAGTTGCCACATCTTATCAGAATATCAAGTAAAAGGCAAAAAGATGAGGGAAAGGAAAACCGGTCAAAAGAAGTAGAAAGTAGTGAAAGAGAAGAAAGAGGAGCGACAACATGATGAGATGAAGTATAGCGGTTAAGATGAGGATAATATGTGCATGTGTCTGCAATGACATCGACTGTGACCCATATCACCAAGAGTCTCCAACGACTGGTTTCTCTTGTCACGCGGACTCCAACCGGCTAATCTGTATCGCTTTACATGACTCAGACGAACAGTTAAAGACTTCATGCATTGATGTCATGTTTTAGTCCGGCCGCTCCGACCCTTCAGTTTTTGGATTTTTGCCGATTTTCCATATTATCCCAGTGAAGTTAAGTGAATAACCTCA